AATTCTTTTTTGTATTTTCTTGATTTAAGTATTCTTTTAAGAATATCATTGTATGTTGTGGTTGAAATTTTAATGTAAATTAGATTAGATTCATGTTATCGATCATATGTTATGGAAGGTGGTGTATATAATATTTAATTAACTATTGTATACATGTTTGTATGTTCATGTTGCTTCAAAACAATAATTTATTAAAAATCATGGATATGTCATATTATCCATATTATCCATGTAAGCCTTTTTTAAAATGCAAATTGTCAATCTTATCACTTTATATTGTAGTATATGTTTAACATTTTAATTATAATAATAAATGCTTTTTAAAAGTTTCTTCCACTTATTAATAATAATAAGTGGCTTTAAAATTAATAAGCAATAATTATAAATAATAAAATCAAATTACATGGATATGTCATATTATCCATGCAAGTCTCTTTTGAAATGCAAATTGTCTATCTTATCACTTTATTATTTAGTGTATGTTTCACATTTTAATAATAATATTAAGTGTTTCTTAAAATTCTTCTTTAACATATTATTAATAATAAGTGGCTTAAAATTAATGAATAACAATTTTAAATGATAATAATAACATCAAATTATAAATTACATTTAACTATAAATAAATTGTATTTTAAATGAACATCATTATTGAAATTAGAAAATGATCGCATAAGTAAAAATATAATCAATCAATAATAATAATTGTTAAAAATAATACTAAATAGATAATTATATTTAATTCTATTAATGAGGAATGTGGGTATGGATATATTGTTCAAAATAATTGAGATTATATATATATATATATATATATATTATATATATATATATATATATCTATATATATATATTATATTAGTGTAAAAATATTATCTCAAAGTTAATGTCAATAACATAATCATTTTAAACATATATTTTTCAATATTTTAACAATATATTTTTAATCTTCGCTGCGCAACGCGCGGGAATTCGTCTTGTATACTTATAAAGGAAGCATTTTTCCTTTCACCACATTCATTTGAAACTCCCATGCATTTTTCCTTTCATCACATTCATTTTAAACTCCCATGACTTTTCAATTTCTTTCTAATAATAATTATAAGTTGGTTAATAAGGTTAAATAAATATCAAACCTAAAGTGTAATCATATATAAACTAGATTTCAATATTAAAAGAATATCTTTACTTCTACTTATAAAGTTATGTTTTTTAACTTTTAACATATTATATTTAATTTATTAGTTTTAATTTATTGTTGGATGTAAACCATTATCATTTTAAAGCTACAACTTTTGAACAATTTATATAAAATACTTAAATTATTAATTTAAATATAACATTATAGGGTCAACTTAAATATAAATTTTAGTTTAACTTAAACAACCCAAAGAATATTTTGTAAATAGTTAAAAATAATAAATTGTAGTGTCTTTCTAATAATAATTATAAGTTGGTTAATAAGGTTAAATAAATATCAAACCTAAAGTGTAGACATAAATAAACTAAATTTCAGTATTAAAATAATATATTTACTTCTACTTATAAAGTTATATCTTTAACTTTTAACATATTATACTTAATTTATTATATTTAATATGTTGTTGTACGTAAACCATTATGAGTTTAAAGCTACAACTTTTAACATATTATACTTAATTTATTATATTTAATATATTTAACTTTTTATTTTATTTTATTTTTATTGCTTTAGGTATTCTTTTAAGACAATCATTGTATGTTGTAGTTCAAATTTTAATGTAAATTAGATTAGTTTCATGTTATCGATCATATGTTATGGAATGTGATATAGATAATATTTAATTAAATATTGTATATATGTATGTATGTTTGTTTTGCTTCAAAGCAATAATTAATTAAAAATCATGGATATGTCATATTATCCATATTATCCATGTAAGTCTCTTTAAAAATGCAAATTGTTTATCTTATCACTTTATATTTTAGTATATATTTAACATTTTAAGTATAATAATATGTGTTTTTTAAAAAGTTTTCTTTCAGCTATTAATAATAATAAGTAGTTTTAAAATTAACGAACAATAGTTATAAATCATAAAATCAAATTATAAAAATCATGGATATGTCATATTATCCATGCAAGTCTCTTTTGAAATGCAAATTGTCAATCTTATCACTTTATTATTTAGTATATGTTTCATATTTGAATAATAATATTAAGTGTTTCTTAAAAGTCTTCTTTAACTTATTAATCATAATAAGTGGTTTAAAATTAATGAATAATAATTTTAAATGATAATTACATCAAATTATAAATTATATAACGTTAGCTACAAATAATTGTATTTTAAATGAACATCATTAATGAAATTAAAAAATAATTGCATAAGTAAAAAAATATAAATTAATCAATCATAAAAATTGTTAAAAATAATACTAAATAAATAATTATATTTAATTCTATTAATAAAGAAGGTGGATTGATGTCAATGAATATTATTGTTCAAAATAGTTGAGATTATATATATATATATATATATATATATATATATATATATATATATATATATATATATATATATTATATATATATATATATATCTTATATATATCTGTGTGTGTGTGTGTATGTGTGTGTGTGTGTGTCTATATATATATATATATATATATATATATATATATAGTTAATGTAAAAATATTATGTCAAAGTTAATGTCAATAACATAACTATTATAAATATATATTTTTCAATATTCTAACAATATATTTTTAACTTGCGTCGAGTAACGCGTGGGAATTCGTCTAATAATAATAATAAGACAACGACATTATGAGGTTTTGTATGAATTAAAAGTGTTAGTCTTGTGAAATATGTGATACAAAGTATGTTTTATAGTGTTTATTTTTTTTTTTAAATATATAAAAAAAAAAGAGTCGTTGAAAAACGGTCGCACACAAAACACATACACACCAACGGTTAAATAGGTGTGACATCCTTCTCTCGTGCGACAGACTTACAACAATTAAACACTTGGGTCAGTGTCATGTTCACCGCACTATCACGGTGAAACGTTATCCCGCAGGGTGCGATATAATACCATTCCGATCGATCTAATTGAAATTGATAAAAATTAAATTAGCTATGGCATTCATTTGACTATAGTTATTGTGTGCTTCAATAACTTTTTGGTAGGTTTTCATGGAGAATCATTTGTCACACTTACCGCTCTTTATAAACATATTCTTATTTGTTAAAAAAAACAGTTATTATTAGAATCGGAAAAAGCCAACCAAATTTGTCAACCTAACTCAAACCCAATCCAAAATTAGTAAGTTGGATTTAGATTTTCAACTCGTTTACGTTAGATGGGTCAATCCATCTAACTCATTTAATAAAATAGGTTGAGTTGGATAAAAATTATCGATATATTTTCAAAGACGTCTACCCGTTTAAATTTAATATTTATTTTATTATATTAATATAACACTAGTATGTTATTATATGTATTATAATTTGATATTTATATTTATATAAAAACTTATACGTTAACCGTATAATTATAAGTTACAACCCTAACAAACTATAATAGGCTTTGGTTATGTGGTGGAGTTGTTTCACACAATACACATATTACGTATTGATTAAAAGATTACGCATTATGCTTACAGTTTCCTAATATCCATTGTGTTTTTTTTTTTTTTGGAACGGAAATATGAATTAAGTTGAAGACTACTCATAATATTTCAGCAACCATCACAACCCTCATACAGATTTCTAAGGAAAAATTATCCACATGTGTCATTACAAGAGGTAGTTCAAGGGAATCGAACTCTCAGCCTCACACCCCACGGAGTATAAAACCCAATGAATCAACCCAACTAGGCTAGATATCACATGTCAATATCCATTAGTTACTTGACGTTTTTTACGTTTTTATTTTGACGTTTCGATTTTCACTGCCCCTCGATATACTTATCATCGGGGACAATAGTAGTATAGTATGATTTAATTATATGCAAGAAGCAAAAAGCCAACTTCAAATTTAAGATCATCTTACTTTAAATATTTATTTTGAATTTAAACTAATTTAATTAGGAGTAATTTTTTAAAATATTTCGTTTACATTTTTAGTTTTAAATGGGTAACCGGGGTTCAATCTATTTATATAATAGTTTGGGTTGGAAAAAACATAAATAGGTCAACCTCATAGCAACCATTAACCTAATAGGTTCGGATGTGTTAGAAATTTTGACGGATTTAATTAAAATTGAGTTGCAAGGCTAGAGTTTGATCTGTTTAAATGTCATCTCTCAAGTTCACCCTTACTTCATCCAAAAATAGTTATCTAGAAGCTTGATACATAATAACCATACTCCAAAATCAAAATTGGAAAATAGCATGTTTCTATATAAATAAATAACCTTTATTTAGGATACCATACAATATTTACATATAAGCATTTTTCACATTGTAAATGACGGGACAATGCAGTGTCCACCTTCTGTCGCTAGAGTCGTGGAGAAAATTTGCTCCATCTTAACACCGACATTAGTTCTTTTAGCAAAACGACCTTTGATCCTAGGCCTTATTTCAGCATATGCTTTCCTGGACTCGTACCTTATTGTTTTCTCAAATTTTCTTCTCTTTTTTTTCTCCATGTACCTGAGGACTCTCGCCTTTCTGTCTATGGGTGCCGGAATTTGGACAGAAGTGTAGCCATAGCCACCGTTTGAGGCCTCATATTCCATTGCTAATTCCAGCTTCGGGTGCTGGAAACCGTGGAGGTGCTTCTTTGTCTCTCCAGACTGAACCGGCACTATGCTATCACCATCACCACCTCCGTAGTTATACTGACGGATATTATGATCATCACTGAATAGAGAGTCTTGACAAGAATTATACTCAACAAGTTCCAAGTAATCGTCTCCATTAAATAAACACCCGTTCATTTCACCGTTTTGGTTTTCGTTTTCGAACTGCAGCCACGATGCTGCTTCGTTTTCTTCATCTTCAGTATCTATGGCGTCCTTTGATTCTTTGACAAAAACCCACCATGATCAGCTCCTACGCCAGTTATAGACCTTGCGTCAGAAGTTTGATGCTCATCGATCAACCCTGAAATGGGTATAACCGGGACACGGTGGTGGCGTCCGGCAAGAGGATTTGCAGAATGAATAACTGCATCACATGTTGCACAGAGATACGCCAAATCCGCCCTGCAGAAAATTGTGGTAGGGCTGAAACGACATATGTCGCATAAAGTACTCGTGTCGTTCTTTAGCATATTTGTTGATTTTCTCTTGTGTTTGCTATGTTTTCAGTTTGGTGTTTCATGTTTGAGTTCCCTTTTGTTAGAACAGTAGCGCGCCACGGGGTGGGGTGAAGAATTCATGAGCTGACACGTGGAGATGAAGTTGTGGATGACAGAGTAGGTGTTGTGGTTGTGGGGTTCTAGGCCGGGGGTCAAGCTGTCTGCTGACTCAAATTGTTATACCATAACTGTAAGTGAGTTTGCAGCCATGTATCCCATATTAGATGGCCTGGTGTGGCACGTGATGAGTACATGGGATTTGAAAAGCTTGATAGTGTCATCCTTTGCACTAGTAGTTTTCGGTCCCCGGTTTACAACCACTCATTTGATGTATTGATCTATGAGTGGTTAGCCGTCTACTACCACAGGGAAAATAAATAAATAAATAAAAAGTAGTATATTTAATACAGCAAATTAATAACTTAAAATCATTTTTAAGTTTGGCCCAAAACCGTTTTAAGCACCCTATTTTTTTTCTCTAAACAAGCCCATGCTTTCAAAAAAACTGTCAGCTAGACCATTGTCATTGATTTATTCAGATACGAATGGTTACGATACTACTGAAAGATGATATTTGTAACACACATATCTATATATGTGGTTTACAAGATGGTGAAGAAAATGAGGTAAGTTACGACTTATTGTCTAAAGTTTCTATATTTTTACTATGGAAAAAACAAATTCAACGGTTATTATCACCTATTTTGTTGTTATAGTATAATTTTATTTGTTATGATTCTTATTGTCAGTTTTCGATTTTTACAATTAGGACGTTTGTCTTGTTACTAAAGTTCATTCTTCTGAAAAATCATATATCGGATCCTAATAACACCAATAGAATATCGACTTCCACAATTATGTGAGGAGTCTTCGGAACATGATATCGTTAGTTGACTTCAAATTAGTTTAAAGTGTTTTCTAACATTGTTTTGTAGTTTGCATTTTTTTTTCTAGTTTTCAATTTTCATATCATACTCCTATGTTGTTTTTATATGTTATTTGAAAGTATAAACTGGATTAAGCATTTTATAAGAGTTTTTAGATATATTTATGGTTCGAGTATATTAAATTTATGGAATCACATAGTACATTCATGTTTTTTGTCCTTATAGGGAAACACATTATTGTTCGGGTACCATAAACCAAAGGGTCTTACTAAGTTTGTCTGTATGAGTGGTTTCAACTCTACATTGAATAATATTTGAGTTTTTGAGTTTTAAATTGATTGTCTTCTTTATTTTATGTTATGTATGCAACACGATTATAGACATTATTTTAAGACATGAAAGATAATTGGATAGATTTGTCATGTACATTGCTAATATAGGATCAAATGAAAGAAATATGTTATAAAACAAAGTAAAATCAATGTATTGTTTATACATTTGTCAATCTGTCAACCGAACAGGTATGACACTAATTATTATATGTTCGTACCGGTTAATAGGGTGTTTCATCGGCTATAACTTTCGGGTTTCAAATAGTTCAGGTCAGGTAGTTCGGATTTTTTCGAAAAATTATTAACCGATAACCAAACTGTATTAAAATCGGGTATTCGGGTTTGGATAATTCGGGTATTAGGTGGGATACGGGTTAGTCGGGTATTACCCGAAAAAAAATTACTAACGATTTTTAGTGAAAAATATTCAGCATGTTATCTATAATGAAGGGATCAATTATGTAACTATACTTTAATTGATTAACAAAAAAATCAATAGTAATGCATTGAACAATTTGAAAACATGTTCCACCAGGTCTAATATTTTAAATGAATACAAGTTTTTTTAGCACCAAATTGGTTGTAAAATGAATTACAAATACTTCAACTTTCTCTACTCTATCCTCGTTTGCGCAGACAATTTATCTTGCTTATGTGGAATTAGAAGTCCTCCTTCATGTTATTACTGTAGAAATAAAGAGCTATTGGGAAGAAGATGTTTCATTCCTCTAAGGATCCGTGTATATATACATAAAATATAAGGAGAGCTAAATAAGGAATCAATCTTATATTTACAGACAAGATAAATACGTGCACTACTAGAAACATGGGTTTTAGAGACGGAAGAATATGTCGCTATTCCGTCGCTAAATGTTGTTTGCGATGGATCAGCGACGGATTCACTCCATAGGTAATTAAAACGTGGCTAATTTCTCAGCGAGGGTTTTAGCGACGGATCGGTTTTTCCTTGCGACAAATGTAGCGACAGAATATCCGTCGCTAAATGTCACTCAATACATTTACTCAGGGCATTAGCGACAAAATTTGTTAAAGTCATTCCGTCGCTGTTTTGTCGCGAATTTCCGTGATCAGTTTTTTTTTCCGTAGCTAATCCCTTGCAAAATTCATATACTGATTTTTTTTTTTCCGTCGCTGATCTGTCGCAAACTTTAGACATGATTTTTTTCCATAGCTAATCCCTTGCAAAATTCATACATTAATTTTTTTTTGTTCCATCGCTGATCCGTCACAAACTTTAGACATGATTTTTTTTCCGTAGCTAATCCCTCGCAAAATTCATGCATTAAAATACTTTTTTTATTCTCACCAATCCGTCGCGAACTTCTAATATCATTTTTTTTATTATGATGCTAAAAGAAAAAAAATACTACAATCATCAAATTTTTATACTAAAAAACATCAAATAATGATACAACCAAACATTACAATACCAAAACTATCAAAGTTTACCAAAGTATCATTCAAAAAACATCCAAAAACAAAACTATCAACATAACATCAAACTCCCAACGGAATGGAATGGTTCATTCCATTCCATTAAATTCATAATCAAGGAATGGAATGAACCACTTTCAAAGCCTCCTATTAATTAATACTCAAACCTTACATAAAGTTGATTACTACTTACAAAACACTTAATTACAACTAGGCAGAGGATCAAACATTTAGAGATAATAATTTATTTCTTTTCTTTTGTAAGTTGATTACTACTTACGAAAGATTTGTTTTCTGTCAATTTGTTGCTTTAACAAAGTCATTAACCCGAGTAGTAGGAAGTTTTGTTTCCTACAAAAGAATTGAAAATACCTGAACTTTAGCTGCCTTTGGTGTAATGTACTCTTGAGTAGACTGTTTAGTGTGCAACCTTGCATAAAGTTCAACTCCTGTAGGAGGGCGTTTAAGTGTTGCTTGCTACAAAATCCATTAGTGATATATTAAAAAACAAAACAAAAACTCAATAGTCTAAGTGGAAACTAAGGTGAGATGCAAACATCTTACCATTCTTTTCTTATGTTGACGAATAGATATAGAACCCCAGTATGTTTGGAAACAGAGCCATCTTCTAATTTATTCCTGTTATTTTTCCCTGATTGTGATAACGTTTCCATTTGGATGTGGTCCACACTTCATTGATCATTTTTTCCCAATACTCCTTTTTTATCCAATTTGGGTGATAGTCCTTTAGCAAATTTAAATCACCTTCTAGTGAGGCATTCACATTTGCACCTTTGGCAAGTTTTAAAGATTCTTCACGTGCTCTTCGCATTGTGTCAGGAAATCGTTTCTTCATACAGTCTTCTCATACCTTGCGAGCAAGAACATCAATCTCTTCGGGCCAGACATACAAACCCTACATGTAGATCACACATACAATTATCTTTTTCATTTTACACCAAGTTGTACTTTGATAAATCATAAAAATAATAAGTACAAACCTTGAAGTGCTCCCACATTGCATCACGATGTTCTTTGTCAACCTACTTCCATAAGGTCCATGGGCCGTCAAACATCGTCTTCAGTATACATATGATGTCTCTGATCACTGAAACCTGATCCGTAAGTCTTGCAAAAAATAAATAATTAAAAAATTAGCATTAGTTTTATCATTAACAAGTAAATTCATTTTTCATAAACAATTGTAAAATTAACATTGGTACTCGTTTTCAGACTCGACTTCAATGAACTTCCTTTTTGATGGGTTACTTGGAACTTGTTCCAAGATGTTTATCCTATAACTGAAGAAGAAGGTTGACTTTCTGCATTTTTGTGTGATTGAGATGCATTTCTATGTCCAGCATCATGACCACCAATGTGACTACCAATACGACCACCACCACGGGATCCTCGTGGCGTCATTAGTCAAAAAATAACCCTTAAAATCAAGAATTAATAAACTATTGGTTAGAACAAGTATGTATTATAATAGAAAATTATAGAAGTAAGAGAAGGTAACATGCTATAATACACAAATAAATGAAAGTACAATGTATATAGAAAAAGAAAACGATCATTTTAGCTAAAAAGTTATTAATATGGTCCATTAGGCAATATATAGTTCCAAATACATTGTTTCATTCTACATTTTTAGTAATTATTCATCATCAGAATTATCATCACATATGTTGTCTTCATCTTCAATATCATCTTGGGATGAATCATCCAAGTTATCATCAACTTCTTCATCCTCTTCTCTCTCAATGTCATTGTCATTAACTTCTTCTATTTCTCGTTCAATTACATGAGAAAGGGGTCCTGCCACCTCATTTGCACCGCTACTTGTAGAAGGTAAATTCGCTTCACTTTCTTGAATGAATTGGTCCTCTTCATCCTCATCATCATCTTCTTCAGTAACACATTGTCATAGATCATATACACCCCTTGGCTTCGTCTTGACGACAGCCCACCAATCTTTCAAATCCTTCATTGCAGGATATGGTGCATAATACACTTGTTCTGCTTGTGACGCTAGGATAAACGGATCTTCATTTCTTAGCCTTGATTTGTATTTAATATCAACCAAATTATTCTTTTGATCCACACGTACCCCTTCAGTAGGGTTAAACCATATACACTTGAACAATACTACAACGCAACACCCTATGCCTTGATATTCTACTTCCAAGACCCCATCCAACAACCCATAATAGTCACACTTAGTCTCATTGTAACAAGTCCCTCTTACACATACACCACTATTGTGTGTGACCCGTCCATCACCATATTTTTCAACATG